CAAAGGACCCCGACCTCGTCTACAACCCGGAGGACCCGCCCGAGGCATACAAGAACTGGCGTGCACGATCGCCTCGCGAGTACACGGCGATGGCGAGAGAGATCCATGGGCCGAATTTGATCCGAGCACCGCCGACCTCGAGGGTGACATCGTCATGAGGTTGGGACCGGGTAAGCCACACGGGAGGTACTATATGGGCAAAAAGCACCATAGAGACACGGCCAACACTCGGACACTCGCCAGATTAGAGCCCGAGCACGAGTTCGAGCCCGGCCACACGCCCACGCCACACCCCTGTGTGTGGTAGCACTCCTGTGTTAGTTCTCATTGCATTCGTTGTCCATTCATTTTCTACCCGTTCTTTATTTGCATTCTAACTATGTGATAAATAATTGTAGGCCAGATTGAGCCCCCCGCAGAGTCACAAAGCAGGCCTCACAGAGCCGGGCCAGCCCTCCAGCCTATATCGACCAGCCGAGTTGGCACAGGAGAGGGCGAGCGAGTGCAGAGCCCGGCTTGAGGCCTTCCAAAGAATGCAGAAGGCCGGCACGAGTACATGGCCAGCTTTTCTCAGAGCATGGGCCAGCCTCCACCGCCTCCTCCGCCGCCGATGATGATACTGGTGGTGCCTCCACCTCCATGTGACAGCACTCTGTGAGTCACTCTTCATCTTGAAAGGCTTTTTTGATTCAGATTGTGCTACTGATCCAACACTATCATGTTAGAACCTAGAAGAGAGTAGGATACATACATGTATAAGTTAGATTATTAGTAATATTGTTCAGACCTTGAAAGGCATCATGTTAGGTTCTACATGAGTACATAGGTGTTTGCCCAATTCATGTTCATCTACTCGACCATGTGTGACGATATCTTGCACATAGAGGAGACCTAAACAACAACTAACTTGATATGTGTTATCTATTATATGCCTATATATTGATGTCTTTGTTAACTGGTCTTTCGAAGGAATATTTGAATTTGGCATACTACCTTATGATTAATTGACAAATATGTTTATTTTCTTTTGCTCCCTCATTCCGGGGACCTTCTACAAATTTGGATCGAACAACGATCAAGATTTGGACTTGTCTCCGCTTTCTCGGTAGGGCTCCGACCATGTGACAGGACCATGTTTCACTTGTTTGTATGTTGAACTTAGAAGTGGGTTGAACTTTGTGGACTTTGGACATGTTGATGGTGTTTGTGGACTTTGCATTGTGCTTGTGACATTTGTTGTAGCTATATGTTGGTTATAATGAGTGGATGTGACATTTGTGGACATATATGTGATATATAATGTCTATATGTTGGTAATGTGATATTCTCGTTATAATTGTTGTTAATTGTGGCTGGATATGCAATGAAACAAACAAAAAAAAATATCGTGGACAAGTTTTGCGAGTGTTACACTCGGTAATGGTCATGTTTATCGAAAGTGCTACACTCGGTAAAGCAGAAAAGAACCAAATTGGTTACGATTTCATTAATTTTGCCGAGTGGTGCCATTTTTTACCGAAAGTGCCACGACCCCACTCGGATATATGTGCCATTTTTACCGAGTGGAACACTCGGTTAACGAGTTACATGTTTACCGAAAGTGTTCTTTGGTACACTCGGTAAACTATATTAGGGAAAAATATTTGCGGAATTGTTTTAATCATGAAAATGGTTATCTGTTTACCGAGTGCTAAGTCTAACACTCGGTAAACGACGCCGTTAACGGCGAGATTGGGGACTGACGACCGTCACGTCGTAGTTGTTTACCGAGTGCCGGCGTAGCACTCGGTAAGATTTATTCTCCGAGTGCCCCGTTAGTTGACACTCGGTAAACTAACTTTACCGAGTCGTTGTTTACCGAGTCATGTTTACCGAGTGTGGCACTCGGTAAACAATTTACCGAGTGTTTATCCATATTTGCCGAGTGTTTATCACACTCGGTAATTAATCAGTATCCCGTAGTGAGCTGGCAAAACTGGCTCTAATTACCTTCTTAGTTTAATTTGTGCAACGGCCCTATCAACCTGAAGGGAATCGGATCCTTGGCCATCCTTTGCTTTTTCCTAACGGCGTTGCCTACTTGTTGCGTTTCTCAGGGCAATAGGGCATCTCTAGTTACACTACTGGATTCACGTTTTTGCCGAAAGTGCCGAGGAGGCACTCAAGAAAGGCCAAATTGCACTTTCGGCAAAGGCTTTTTGCGAAAGCGGCACTAGGCAAAGAACACACGGCAAAAATTAATCGGCAAAGCCCTCTTTGCCGAAAGTGTCTTTATCGGGCACTTTCGGCAAAGACTTTGCCGAAAGTGCCCCGGGACACTCTAAGAAAAAAGCGACCGTCGGCGCCGGTCCCGTTGACGGTCACTTTGCCGAGTGCCAACCCTGCAGGCACTCGGCAAAGATTTTTTATTTTTTTTAAAATAAATTCTTTGCCGAGTGCCAACACTGCAGGCACTCGGCAAAGATTTTTTTATTTTTTTTAAAAAAATTTCTTTGCCGAGTGCCAACCCTGCAGGCACTCGGCAAAGAGTTTTCTTTATTTTTTACAAAATTTCTTTGCCGAGTGTCAACCCTTCAGGCACTCGGCAAAGATTTTTTAATTTTTTTAAAATTTTTTTTTCTTTGCCGAGTGCCAACCCTGCAGACACTCGGCAAAGAGTTTTTATTTTTTTTTAAAAAAAATTCGTTGCCGAGTGTCCTCTATTTGGCCCTCGGCAAAGATGTTTTATTTTTTTTTCTAAAAATTCTTTGCCGAGTGCCCCCTTTCCGACGCTCGGCAAAGTTTGAATTTTTTAAAAAAAAATCTTTGCCAAGTGCCCTTTGGCCGGCACTCGGCAAAGTTTGAATTTTTTTTAAAAAAAAAATTATTTGCCGAGTACCGTGGTCATTACACTCGGCAAAACTGGGAAACTAGTTTTCCGAGCTCCCATTTTTCCAGCTTTGCCGAGTGTCATGGCCATTGCACTCGACAAAGTGACTGAAAACAACCTTTTTTATTTGTTTTTTACATTCCATCCAAACAAACAGAAGATATATATAACAAACATCACAAATTGGTGTCACATTATCGTTGCATTAACATGCAGTACAACTAATAATACACCGTACCAATCATAGAAACATACATTGAGTTTCATTTATTAGCGAGTCCACTGCTGTCACATAGTTTGAGGACAATCAATTCACGATCAAGCTAACTAGTATGTATCAATTCACAATCAAGCTAACAAATATTTTGTCCTATATATCTTTTCTAAGGCAAATGGGTAGCACTTCCCCTATCTCGGCATCAACATCTCTTGTCTTTGGTCAGAATCTCTTCTAGAGAGATGATCTGCAAAAATGGTGAAACATGCTTGCAAATAACCGCTGGGCCTCTGCCTCCACGCACCGCACTGCTGCCTCCTCAGGCCTTCTATAGCCAGATTGTTCTACCAAATAAGACCACAAATCAGTAAGCATTTCAGTTAAATCAACCATAAGTTCATTCATAGTAAAGTGGAACCAAAGACAGATGCTGATTGTAAGACATCACCAAAACAACTTAATTATAGTTCATCATAATAGGCATGTACACTTTTCATAAGTCAAATGGGCAAATGACAAACATATTGAGAGCTCATGCCTTTTTCATAAACTACAGTCCAATATCATGCATTAAAGATATTTTCTAACATTATACTTTACACATGAATTTAAATCTATCATACACCAGTAAGTTGAAAGCAGCAGCAGGTATCATCAGACAATGTTATAAAAGATGTACATCTAGGAACTGATGCAATTTAGATGAAGAAATGCTGAAGACAGTTTCTGAAACTACTATACTCATATTTGTTGAAGCATGAGGATCGTTCGATGCCGCCGATTGATTCTGCACACTAATATTAGTTAGTAGTTACTAATAGCTCATCCGGTTAAGCGAGAACTACGCACTGATTAAATGTAACTTTGAAAGTAGTTAAGACTAGCATGTCCACGCAGGTACTACGCACTGATATAGCATGTTAGAATGTAAAATAACAAAAAGACAAGCATAACAATGGTTTGCTGCTTCACAAGATGTACAGTAATGATTAATGTAAATTTAGAGCTTTACCATGCGGTGAAGCAAAAGCCAACAGAGAGTGAAATTGCATTCTCTAATGACAGAAAGAAGACTCTGAGAATTATTGAGCACATACTCCTTGTTTATGGCATGCATGTGAATATCCAAGTCAGCTAAAAAATAAGGAACCTGGAGTTGAAAAAAAAAACAGCATGCAGAAGTCAAAAAAAGGAAAGTGAGAAAATTTCAGGAAAAGAATACAGATAGTCAATCCAAGAGGAGCATAGAAAATTTCAAGTTCAACTAATTTATGAATTAGAGAAAAAAGTAGGTATTGAGCTGCAATTCACAATCAACATCCAAAACAGGAAAATCTTTGATAATAATAGAATAAAATGTTTTGCTATACTCACCTTTGTATAATGGTGAAGACTGATATCACTAATGGAAGTGGGAGAAAGGCAGGAAACTAATGATGACTTTGCTTCTTTGTATGCATCCCAAGAGACAAGTAAATCAACTGAGAAATGCAAGAATATGGGAACCACCTGAGTAGGTCCTCAGACTTCTGAATAGAAATAATGTCCGAGCTAAATGGTGATGAACCAGGACTAGCAGAAGTACCCGGGGTCGGCACATGCCGACGACAGAGCTCACATATCTGCTCCAGATTGGGATAGCTAAAACAGCGTTTGTACCGCAGGTGTGCCACAAGGAGCCTCTCGCGCAGCAACCCACCAATTTTGTGTTCCATTATAAGAATCATGCATCCGAACAGAGTCATTGACTCCACGAGTAACTGGCATGCGCAGTTATTCTCCAACACATGATCTAATGTGCAGTGGACATATAACCCTTCCTAAACATGAAAGAACACTCGTTTAGTGTCACTAAAATTGGGACTGGGGGCATCATGTTTGACGCTCTAGTTCATCTAAAAATATTTAGCAACAATGGCATCAATCTACAAGTTACAAAGACACTGCAACGGCGCAAAGCCTAACCTGCAGATCATTCAGGTAATTGCAGAGCTCTCCGTGGTAAGTGACGGCGCCATCCAGAAAGGAGAAGAATATCTGCATGTAAGAGCCGCAGGAGTCACGGAGCTGATCTTCCAGTGCTTCCAGCTATTAAAACTTAAAGCTACGGTGGGTACTCGAGATGTGCAGATTTCTAACTACGAATAGGAGGAGAATTCACAAAGTTGCACTTTCGCATTGCGATGGTACGGATTTTATTATTTATGGCAGAGAACACAGCGAGAGATGTCACCGGAAGTCGAAGAGGACGGGGTCGAAGCGGCGGTCTGCGAACAGCGGAGGTGCGCGGTCGGAGAGCAGGAGCAGCTCAGCGATGAGGGCCTCAGCAGCGCAGAGAAACCTAGGAGCTCCGGGAAGTCGTCGGCGTCGGTGTGCCAGTGCAGAGGCGGGCGGGCGGCTTGTGCCAGTCTCCGCCATGGCTTGTGCCAGTCTCCTCCATGGGTGGGCCTGTACCTGCAGCAAGAGAGCACTGCTGCTGGGGCTGGCAGCTTGCGCGAGGACGCCGGGCGGACCTCCGTGGCCTATCCCTCGAGCGCGAGGACGGCGGGAGAGAGGGAGCGGAAGCGGAAATGCGGACCAGAGCGGCGGCGGCTGGGGTGAGACCGTGAAAAGTGAATGGGTTAGGGTTACGGTGCGCTGGCTGGGCGGGGGTGAAATTCCTCCTTTGCCGAAAGTGCCCCGATCCGGCACTGCAAAGTATTTTTTTTAATTTTTCTTAGTTCTCTGCCGAGTGCCACCTCGACAAAGAAGTTTTTTAAAAAAATAATCTTTGCCGAGTGCCCCGATTTGGCACTCGGCAAAATATTTTTTAATTTTTTAAATTCTTTGCGAGTGCCATGCCCTAAGCACTTTCGGCAAAGTTTTTTTTTTTTTTGTTTTGACTTCAAAGTTTTTGTGCAGCCCTTTTAGAGCACAGAAACTCCTAGTTAGAATTTGGGTTTTTTGTGGCTTTTTGATATATTTAGTTACTTTATTTAGTTTACTTGAATTTTTTGAAAAATATAATTTTGAATAGCATGTAGATACGAATAATGAAATTTAATGATTCAAAAATGATAGTCATATTCTTGAGTGTAGTGTGAGGCCGTATCCAGAATGGACCTGAAATTTCGGACATCTTGTTCACGAAACATGACCCATGAACTTGCGTGTTGAAGTGTTTTAAATTCTATAAAAAGCAAACGAAGTCGAAAATCATGAAACTTGTTGAGATGTCGTGATATCATATGTGGAGGCTATGATAAAAATTTTAGAAGATTTCGTGCACGTTGTCACCTACGATGCTTACAAACGGGACATCTCTACATGTGATACCAGGACAACGTCATGCGAAACATTCTCAAATTTTTATCACAGAGTCCACATATGATATCATGACATCTTGACAAGTTTCATAATTTTCGGACTTCGTTTGCTTTTTATAGAATTTAAAACAACTCGACCGCAAGTTTGTGGTCATGTTTCGTGAACAAGATGTTAGAAATTTCGGATCCGTTCTCGGATACTGACCTCACACTACACTCAAGAATATGACTATCATTTTTTGAATTATTAAATTCCATTAATTCGTACCACGTGCAGTTCAAAATTATATTTTTGAAAAAATTCAAGTAAACTAAATAAAGTAACTAAATATATCAAAAGCCATAAAATACCCAAATTCTAACTAGGAGTTATGGTGCTCTAAAAGGGCTGCACAAAAAATTTGGAAGCCAAAAACAAAAGACAAAAAAAACTTTGCCGAAAGTCTTGGGGGCATGGCACTTTCGCAAAAGGGTCTTTGCCGAAAGTGCCAAGAATAAGGCACTTTCGGCAAAGAGGGTTTTGAATTTTTTTTTAAATTTTTTTCTTTGCCGAAAGTGCCCCTGTGAAGGCACTTCGGCAAAGACATTTTTTTTAAAAAAAAATTAAATCTTTGCCGAGTGCCGTGTCAAGAGCACTCGGCAAAGTATTTTTCAAAAAAAAAAAACTTTACCGAGTGCCAGATCTGGGACACTCGGCAAAAAAATTTCAAAAAAAAATTAAATCTTTGCCGAGTGACTGATCTGGGACACTCGGCAAATAATTTTTTAAAAATAAATCTTTTTGAAGTGCCTAACAACAGCAGCACTCAAAGAAAGAAGGACGTGGCCGAACACCATTACGCGGGGCAGCCTATGCCGAGTGCCGCGATTTTGCCGAGTGCACTTTTTTGCTGAGTGCCTGGCACTCGGCAAAGAACTCTTTACCGAGTGCAATTCTTTGCCGAGTGCGGCACTCGGCAAAGAAGGTTTTTGCCGAGTGTCCGATTTTTAACACTCGGCAAAGAATTTTGCACTCGGCAAAGGCTCTGTTTCCAGTAGTGTTAGTTGTACTCCTACAGCATTTTGCTCTGCATTGCACGGCCTAAAGCAACATGCTTCAGATGGTTCCCTGCGCGGCCTAAAGCAACATGCTTCAGATGGTCAAAAGCACATGATATATTCCTTGCTTCTCGCTGCAACATATGCTTTGCCGTTTCCAATTCCAGTGGCCAAAAGCAAAAGCCCTCACACGACATCAGGATGGATCGCTGCAACATGCTTCCAACGCCGCGGCCTAAAGCAAAAGCACTCAGGATACATTCCTTCCTGGGCGCGCAGCTAACGTGACCCGTCAGAAAATGTATCCCTTGCTTGCTTCCAGGTGGATACAAGCGTCCTCTCCCCTCCGTCGTAGGCAGTGTGTGTATAAAGCATGCAGGCCTCCTCGGCTTCTACGCGTCTCTCTATCCCCATCATCTCGCTTTGATTCATTCATTCATTCATTCATGTCACACACATCACTGTTCAGCTGATCGATCCGTCCACTCTCGTCACCGGGCGCGAGAGCCTCGGATCGGAAGGAGCCAGCTGCGATCTTACGAATTCGTCGATCGTCTTGCAGTCCTGCTCGGTAACTGTAAGCACTTCTGCTCGATCTGTCTGTTTTTCTTTTATTTGAAATAATGAAAAAGAATGACCCTCCCTTAGAGGTCGTATTCAGCCAACCAACCACTGACGAATAATAAGCCATTCGTTTTTGCAGAGTTGATTGCATCCATTCGTTGTGATTCAAACCCAACTTTCATTTTTTGTTTGGCGAAGATACCCATCATCCTCGTCTTGATCGGTAACTGTGTAAGCAGTAAGCACCCAATATTGATTCAGCACTTCTCCTCGAGCTGTTTCTTTTTCTTTTATTTCAAATATTGACCCTCCCTAGAGATCGCATTGAACGAACCACTGACGAATAAGCCATTCTTATTTGCAGAGCTGATTGCAGCCATTCGTTTTGATTCAAACCCCATCTTTAACTTCTTCCATATTTGTTCGGCGAAGATACCCATCATCGTGGTTTCCAGTTATACAAAAATTGTATGTCGCCCCCTTCCTCTCTTCCGTTCTGGTTTGCTTCATTCATCTGCTTCATCTGTTGATCCAATCATCCCCTCGTCGATCTATTCTCAGGGCGCACAGGTCCGATCGGTGCCAGGTGACAGCTGCCAGCGAGCGAGCTCGTCGATCATCTTGTTCTGTAATTGTAAGCACTCCATATTCAGCACTTGTCGATCTGTTTCTTTTAAAAAAATAATAATCTTAACTAGTCCCTAGAGGTCGCATTGGACCAGCCACCGATCATTTTTTTTAGATATAAAGGGCCGATCATAAGCTACCCAGACACATCTGACAGCCCAGCAAGCTACAGGCTGCGTCCGGACTGACTTTTTTCGGCAATGCTTTTTGGCTGGTTTTTACTTTCGTGATTTTTTTTCCGTGCAGCTTTTTATGTCTGTGGCCAGTTTTTTTTGTGCAGTTTTCTGATATCCGTAATTTTTTCCCATGTAGCCTTTTGATGTCCGTGATTTTAGGCAACTTTTGCCATGTGTTTTTTCGGATTTTTTTTATTCTTCGTTCACCAGGCATTAGGAAATGACGTAACAAAGCAAATTGTGCGTCAAAGATTTGATATTGAAAAACGACTTTTCATCCTGTAGAATTTGTTTTCATTTGTCACAAATAATGGCATCCGTAATTGTAAAAAACTCATCTTTTCCTACCTTGATAAACTGAAAAGCTCAAATTTACAACTTTAAATACAGACATTTGTGATCACTACATAACATCATATATGAAACTAATACAAGAATCTGCACTAAAGCAAACACTTCGACCTCCTGGTGGAGCATGACAGGTGCTAGCCAAACTCCAACTGATCCAACGTCCATCCTAGAGCTCCATGGCCAGCTTGGGTGCAGTAGCATCCCACAGATACATTTTGCGCTCTCTCGGTAGCAGTAGCATCCGGCAGCGTGACACGCAGCGTGACACTAATGCCGACGCCAACGCCCGTCACGCTCGTTTGTTGGCTGCAAAAATGCAGCGCTGAAGTTCCAGCTCTTCAGCTTCCTGTTGCTGCCCAAGGCCCATCCATTCACCAATTTTGACCCTGCTGCATGTGAACAGATGAGAAAGAAATCATCAACAAATGCTATGTGTAGAAAATATAAATAGAAAGCATCTAAATCTGATGATACGATGAGTTAATGAAGAATCGATATCAGAATGAGTTCTGGCAAGTGAAGCTGAATCAAGCTGCTACTTCTACAGATGTGCAAGTCGTTGCTTGGCTCCAAGCTAGCCAGGTAACTGAGTTCAGCTCAAAGCTGAAGACAAAGGCAATCAATCATTCATATGTCAGGCTAAGGTGTGCAGTACAACTGAGTATAGTTGAACTGTATAAATCACATTTCAAGCCACAAATCTTTTGTTGCAAAAATGAAAACACATTATAATTAGGCTGATGAAATTTGTAAGATCAGCACACAAGCAAACACAATTTAGCACTATTTAGATCGCACCAACAGCAGCAAATGAACCTGCACTCATGGCAAGATGCTGCCGGTGGAGCAAGCATTAAAAAAAGCAAGGGGTGGGTGAACACATTGACGGATCCCTTGTGGTAGGTGGTGCAGTTAGGCACGACAATCTAGCTCATAGTGCATAAGAGATTAGTTCTTAACAACAATCATTTGATCACTTCTGAAACAGAAATGAAACCCCAAACGTTTTTTCATAAAACAGTCCACACATCATTAAACAATATGTTTCTCTCATTAAACCAGGCGGTGTGGTGGTACTGAATATTGAGTTTGCAAAAAGGCCAAGCTCGCATGTGTTGCTGTGATATTCATCCAGATGAAATGCATGCTGATGGCCACTATATACTCTTTTTGGAAAAATAAAATTAACATGTTTTCAATTAACCAAGAGAAGGAAAATAATTGTGAACTACATCATAAATCAATTAAGCCTATGTATGGCAACCTATGTTCAGCTGCCTATTTTCTCACCAAATTTGTATGAGTGACCTGCGAGAGGTAAGGCTAGCTTACATCATATATGTTCGTCAAAATAAACTGAAACTAAAAAGTACTTTCTTTATACTAAATGAAAATAATGTACCTTAGACGAGAGGGCTACAGAATGACTAATCAACCTGCTTGGAGGGGTGCTCACTTGATGGATCCACATAACTCGCACAGAACATGTTGGAGTGTTTGTTGTAGTCTATGAAATAGACTCAAATGCTTAGTATAGGCA